TGTAGGTGGTTTGATCGAGCCTTCAGAGAGAATAGTCTTGGAGGTGGGTTGTTGGCTCAATGGAGGTGCTTTTCCCCCTCCCATGGAGATGACTTAGCAAAGAGTGCAGCAACCCTACCAGACAGGCCCAGGAGACTTGAAATGGACTTTTGGCATCACGGGGGTAAGAAATGAGGAGTGGGGGTGGGGGTGGGAGTGAGGCTGCGATTGGCAGGAGCAGGGAGGATTGCCAGGAAAGGCCCTGGGCAGTGCAATGCTGCCAACCAAGAGTGTTCACCCCTCCATTCACTCATAGGCCAGGAATAGAGGACTCATCTTGGACCCACATTCTCCTTCATTTTGAATTCACTCCCAGGTCTGGCAATGTTACCTCCCAAATGCTGCACAGATCTAGTCACGTCTCTCCATCTCCACCATCACCACCCTCTTCCAAGCCACCTTAAAATGAGGACCAACATCTTTGTTAAGGTTCTCTTCACTGTTTTCGCCTTCCTCTCAGTCCAGAGCCTGTTCTTTCTGTCACAGGACATTTGCACATGCTATTTCTCTGACAGACACTTCCTCTTCCTCTTTCTCTGCCTAGTTAGCCTCTATTAGCCTTTCAGATTTAAGCTTAATCATCACTAGTTCAGGGCTTCCCTGAAGTTCTTAACAAATACAATTACCCCCTCCTCCTCCCCGCTCCCCAGCACCCCCATCTTATCATGTGTTGTTCCTTTGTGGTATTTTTCTGAGTTGTAGTTACATGGTTTTCTTTGTGCGTGTTTTTAAAATTAATTTCTGTGTCTTCTACTATACCGTGAGATCCTTGAGAGAAAGAACTTTGCCTTTTTTTCTCTTCTCTTCCTTCCTCACCCCTGCCACCCCTCTCTCTCTTACTGTTGTACCCCTGGTGCTAGCACAATGCTTAGCCTATGACACATTCTCAAGAAACATTTGTTGAGTTCATGAATAAACTTGTATCCGTCTGGTGTTAGGATCTGGGGGAGGAGAATGAGGGGATTAATGAAAATGAGTAAAAAAAATCATTCCTTTTAATGTCCAATTAAGTAGAGAGAAAGAACCAGAACACATGGAACAATGAATGACAGACACAGCACTCTCTCACAAGCCACACTGTGCTACAGATGGTGAAATCATGTTCTGAAGGACAAGAGAACTTCAAAAATGAGAAGAAGCCAGGGAACTTAGGCACTTAACAATTCCATACTTATATACCCTATGCCTAGTGTTGGCAAACACACAAAGACGCTTAACGCATGGGACCTACTAGTACTCTAGGGCCTTATTATCTGGTTGGGCTGAGCAGATCTACTAGTATACACAACTTAGTGCAGTGGTTATGCGCCCAGCAGTGGCCTGAGAAACGCCTGCGATGGCCAGCCTCCGGAGGAAGAGGGCAGAACGGGTCCCGACTGAGCAGCAATTTGCAATGTGAACGGCCTGATCCCTGGGGTGGGACAGAGACCAGGTTTCAATGTGGGGATCCAGCGGAGGCAGAGCCCTCTTACTGAAAGGAGGAGGTGTTTTGAAGAAAACAGGCAGCTATGAGCCTGGGAACAAGTCACCAGTGGTGGAGATGTGATCTCCTCTCTTCCCTTTATCCTACTTAAATTGCAAAAACCTGGAATTGCATCCAGAACCTCTGGGGAAGGTGCTGCTGTCTATGGTGTGACAGTGTGATTGATAGGAAGAAATATATATTTGGCCTTTGACTCGTTTCTTGGCACAGAGCTCGTAAAACTCTTGGAACTTCCATTATGAGAGATATAAAGGTATCTTTTATCTTTTGGAAAGCACCAGATGATGAGAGGGTTGGAACTTTCAATCCTACCCTCTCAACTCAGAAGTCAGGGGAGGAGAGAGGGCCCGGAGGTTTAATCAATTCCCAATGGCCAGTGATTTAATCAATCCTATCTGTGTTATGAGGCCCCATAAAAACCCAAAAGGACAGGGTTCAGAGAGCTTCTGGGTTGGTGAACACATGGAGATGAGAGGAGAGTGGAGCTCCTGGAGAAGGCATGGAAGTGCCATGTCCCTTTCCCCATACCTTGCTCTATGTATCTCTTCCATCTGGCTATTTCTGAGTTATATCCTTTTATAATAACTGGCATATGGTAAACTGGTTTCTTGAGTTCTGTGGGCCACTCTAGCAAATTAATCAAAACCAAGGAGGTCTTTGTTGGAAATTCCCATCTATAGTCAGGCATCCTGAAGCACAGGTGCCAGCTGGACTTGCCATGACATCTGAAGTGTGTACGTGATGGGGGTCAGCCTTGTAGGACTGGGCCCTCAGGCTGTGGAATCTGATGCTATCTGGGTAATGTCAGTACTGAGTTAAGTTGTAGGACTCCCAGCTGGTGTCTATGACGCGTAGGAAACATCCACACACTCGCACTGGAATTGGGTCCTGAATCAGATAAGGTGAGAGGAATGCTCAGGGCCAGCTCCCAGGCAGGAGCCACGGGGAAGAAGCTGGGTATGCTGTGGAAACCACGTAGGCCAACTTCCCCATAAAGGGAGAAAGGGGGCCAGGAAGAGGCCTTAGCTTTGCAGAACTGTCACTAGAGTGACTTCGAAAAGTTGGGATTCATTACCTGGGGGGTGTAGATGACTATTGGGGTCTGAAAATACCCTGCAGTTGAACTCGAAATTATTTTGTCTGGACATATCTTTGAAGAGAGTATCCAAAGCTTTAATTGAATTCTTTAAGGGGTCTATGAACCCTAAAGAACTTCACTAAAGCTCACCATTAATGTGCTTGAAGGAAGATCATTCTAGAGCAGCGGTTCTCAACCTGTGGGTCGCGACCCCTTTGGCGGTCGAACGACCCTTTCACAGGAGTCGCCTAAGACCATCCTGCATATCAGATATTTACATGACGATTCATAACAGTAGCAACATTACAGTTATGAAGTAGCAACGAAAATAATTTTATGGTTGGGTCACAACATGAGGAACTGTACTTAAAGGGCCAGAAGGTTGAGAACCACTGATCTAGAGGGAGCAGGCCATTTACCTAATAATTTTGCAGATAAGCTGGTAGTCATTTATCAAAGTAGACAGCCTAGGGGAGTAGAACACAGTGCTGCTTGGATAAAGGGGACCATTCCTGGGCCTATTCCTTTAATAAACATTTATTGAGCACCTACTCTGTCAGGCACTATGTAGATTCTGGGATACAGCACTCCCCCAAATAGAGGGGGAAATTCCTGCAAAGCAGATTGAAGCCTTCATTCTAGTGAGGGGAGACCAACTCAAAACAAATGGGTAGACTATTTAGCATGTTAGAAGAAGGTAGGAAACGAGAAAAATGAAGCAGGAAGGGCGGATAGGGAGGGTTGGGAGAAGGGTGGGGAAGGGGTTCAATATTAAATGAGATGGTCAAGGGCAGGCTTACTGAGGTGATGTTTGAGCAAAGACAGGAACAAAGCAAGAGACCAAACCATACAGCTACCTGGGGGAAGAGAATTACAGACAGCCAGTGCAAGGACCCTGATTCAGAAACATTGCCATGGTGTTTGGAGAAGATCAAGGAGGCTGGTGAGTTTGGAGTGGAATAAGCACAGGAGGAGGCCCTGGAAGACAAGGTAAAAGGTAATGGATGGGGCAGACTGTGCACTGTGATTCATTATAAGCCTTTGACTTTTCCTCGAGGCAGAAGTGAAGCTACGGGACAGTGTTGAGTGGAGGAGGATCTCCACTGACAAACAGGTTTAACAGTTCGTTCTGGCTGTTCTGTTGAAGACGACTGTAATTCAGACAAAACAGTGTAACACCTCACAGGATGGTCCAGTGAAGGTCATGAGCAGTGGGCAGGTTCTGGGTGGGAAAAATCCATAGAACATTTCACAAATGAGGCAGCAGCAGCATGCTCAGACTTCTCAGTGGTTGAGGGTGCGTGCCCTGCCCAGCTAACAGCACCAGGGGATCTTTACAAGTGGAAGTGAGCTACCTACAGAGGCAGGAGCCCTGGCCCTGCTGCTCCATGGCTGGATCCCTTGGGCAAATTATTTACTTCCTCAGGACTGAAGTTTCCTGACTTACAAACAGGAAGAACAAATGTCTGACTTGCCCCGGGACCTCAGACTGAACTCTGCTATCTTCAAATGCCTTCTCATTCTGAGATCTATCATTTGGGTTCAGTGAGAGGCTAGAAGAGCATCTGAAATGCCACAGCAAAGCCAAACCCTGTTCCTTGAATAAATAAATAGTGCTGTACTCCTCCCTTGGACTTTCCCCAGCCTACAGGACTTATGCTTGACTTTCTTAGGATGTTGGCCTTGGGGAGGGGGGAGGGAGAAATCCCCATGTGGATAATGACACAGTAAAGAAGTGTGCAGTGGCAGGGCCGAGCCGAGCACAAGGGACACAGATGTTGGCTACAGCACACAGGCAATATTTTGACTCAGAGCAGGTATACGATTAGGCGACATCCACAACCCTTGTCAATGCAGACAGCCTGACGTGCTGGGCTGGGAAAAACAAAAAATGTCAACCATTTCACAATCCAGGGCAATAAGGAAGGTTGAAGCTACATTTATGCAGGCTGGATAGCATATAATAGAGCTTTAGTATATAAAAGCTTCATCTCAGCCTGATTAGCACCATCAAATTATTGTGTTTAGGAACTGGGAAATGTTTAATGAAACCATGTTATTCTTTTTTTGTAATAGGTTGCCGCTGTTCAGGATGACTGAGGCAGGCACTCCTGAGTTCGGCTGTCCCATCCAAATTACTTTTTTTCTTGTAGCCCCCACATGGCAGGTCACAGGCCCCAGAACTGGCTCCCTGCCCCAGACCCTAGGTTCACAGGTGGACTCCAGACATCAGCTGAGATCACCTGGGGCAGGAAGCTAGAGGCTGGACAATCAGCATGGCCTCAGAGTTGTCCTCTGGCCTTTGGACACTCTTCAGGGAAAGATCAAATCTAGAGCTACTTCCCCCCTATCCCAGAGATGTTACAGACACCTGACCACAAAAGCCTGCCGGGTGCTTACCTCCAGAGGGTGTGCCAGCGACTCTCTTAAGGAATTTAACCCACTCCTCCATCTCCGCCTGGGAGCTGGCCATGAGGACATAGGAGTCCTGTCCCGTGCGACTCTGGTCCCATGAGGCTAGAGGAAGAAGCAACACTAATGAAGGTCTTAGAGTGGAAAGGGGCTGGAGCAGGAGGAAGCAAAGAGAAGTGAACCTGAATTGCTTCCATGGTTCAATTAAACAATCCTTCAAACAACACCAAAGCATTATCTACTTATCCTCAGGGGCACTGGATATCTGTGCACCTTATTGTTTTTGCTGACGCTCTAGTTCTCTAGACAAGCACTGACCACAGTGGTTTGCAGTCAGGGAGGGTGACTTGGGCTGACAGCCGCTCCTGTGGAGGACAGAAGCCATTTGCTACCAAAAAGGAAGAGGAAATTCACAGGGCAGGTTCCGTATTAGAGGAGACAGGATCACCCCATACAAGTTTGAAGACTTTGTTCAGTTCATCATACCAATCATAGTTTCCTAAGCTACCCTTGAATTCAGTTGTGGGGGTGGGGAAGGGAACAGCAACTCAGGAGGGAGGGACAATAAACGTATGTGTGTCTTTCTCATGAAATCAGTGCTTCCTGCTCAGATTACTGCTCTCCTGCCTGTACAAGACATTGCAAATGTTAGGTTCTCGATTCACATTTAATTGACAAATGAAGTTTGCTAGGATTTTATTTACCATCTTTTACTTTAAACACAAGATTGTAAAAGGATATATGTAGTATTTCCTGAACTGGTGTTCTCAAATGGACAAAATGGTGGACAAAATGACAGGGGCTGGAGAGAGTACGGGAGGAGACCAAGAGAGAAAATGAGAGAAAATATAATAGAGAACAATAGGGAGAGAGAAGGAGGAGAAAAAAAGGAGAGCATCAAACATGGGTCTTGGGAAGGACAAGAAAATAATAGCAACCCTTTTCAATGATCAGATTCTATTAAATTTCAAAGGCCTTTGCAGCCATCAACCCAATCTTCTCTCAATGTCAGGGCATTTCCCTCAAAGAGAGCCTGTTTTAGCACCATATTTGTGGACACTCTAGTTCTCTAAACAAGCACTTTCTTTCAGGAAAGCAAAAGACTTTCAATTCCCACTGGTTCTGGTCTCTTGAACCCATCTTAATGTCACCCAGCCACACCTTCTTTCATCCTTTGTGAGGACCTAATCCTGAATCTATGTTACCATTGGGTCATCCGCTGTTCTAACCAGAAGTGTCAGTACACGGAAGACCTGGCTATTCAGGAACATCCTGAGATCCGGGTGTTTCCAAAAGTAGAATGGGAAGTAAAAAGTTCTCAAGGCAGAACTGAAACATTCCATAGAAATCACAATTTCCCTTTGCTCTAGTATCATTTCCACTCCACAGATAATGTAACTGAAGCCCAGAAATTCACAGGCACCTGCTCATTGGTACCCAGTAAGTTACTGCCAAACTCAGGGCAGGGCTACTGGTCTCCTTTCTTTTAAGAAGAGTTTCCACTAGGCCATATTGCTCCCAATTTTGGCCAAAATTTATCTGGTGTCCTTCCCCACCATGTCCATACCCCAATCCATTCTGTTGTTAAGAACTGCCTTTCAGTTTACCCTGATTCCTGAGAGATCCTTCCGTTTGACCATGGCAACCCCATGGAGAAACATCCAGCTCTCGAGATGTTGCAGAGTGGCCAAGGCTTGATCTGATAACCCAATGTCAACATAGATTCAAAACCCGGCCATCCCATAGGGTAGAGAAGGCGAAGCACAGTGATATTAAGGTTCAAGAAACCAGGTCCAAAAGGATTTTGAGTATCTTTTGTTGCCCCATAAAAAAATGCACATTGAAGTGCTAGGATGAGCTCTCTTTGGGAGAAACTGCCTAACATTAATACAAAGCCCATGAATAGCAACTCTGCCCTCAGGGACATGCTTTCTCTGACTTAAACAGTTTGTTCAACATGTCGTATATTGGGCTATTTCCCTTATCAGAAAGAAGCCTCCCTTCTTTTCTTCCCTGCCTGAGCAACTCTTACCCATTTTTAAAAACCTAACTCAAATGTCATCCTCTCTAGGGATATTTCTTAATAATCATTTCTTCCCACTTCAAAGTAAGTGGGGAGTCCAAATTCTAAATCCCTTAACATCCTATCCTTACCTCTCTCACAGCAGCAGCTAAATTATCCTGAACATCAGTTTCCTTATCATTAATATCTAGGCAACTATTTAATCCTAGAGGCCCGATGCATGAAAATCATGCAAGAATAGGCCTTCCTTCCCTCTGGCTGCTGGTACCAGCTTCCCTCTGGCACCTAGGACCCGGGCTTCCCTCACAGCCCCGGCTTCGTTCAGAAGAACAGAAGGACATCTGGAAGGACGTCTGGTCTAATTAACATATTATGCTTTTATTATTACAGATGTCCAAAACTAAAGCCTGCTCTTCCCCCCAAAATTTGCTAGCTGCACAAATCTCAGCAAATACATCCTTCCAATTGTTGAGGCAAAAACCTTGCAGTCAACCTTGGCTTCCCTTTCCCAATCTATCAGCAAATGAAGTCCTGTCTACCTTCAAAATGTATCCAGAAATGATTATTTCTCACCCCTCACTGTTCTCATTTCTCACTTGCACGCTTGCAATAGCCTCTTCACTGGTCTCTCTGCTCTGTCCTTGTCTCTTTATTCTCAACTCAAAAGAGTGGAAAAACATAAGTCAGATCATGTCATTTCTTTGTTCAAAACTTCCCAATGGCTTCCCATCGTTATAGCATAAAAACTAAACTTTTTACAGTTGCCTGCAAGTACCAGTAAAAACTGTGTTCACCTCTGACTGAATCTCCTACTCTTGTTTCCTGTCATCATTCCACTGTAACCACATTGGTCTCTTTGATGTTTCCTGAACATGTGAATAGGCTCAGAGACTTTGCATTGACTGTTCCCCTTCCTGGAATGCTCTTCCTCCAGATGGGCACTTGGCTCACTCCTTAAGGTCCTTCAGATCGCTCCTCAAAGGTCACCTTCTCAATGATGCCACTCTTCCTGCTCTATTTAAAATGACAAATCAACCACTGCCATCCCCATCTCAACCAGCACTTTGTCTTTCTTTGCTTCATTTTTTTCAGAGTACTATCCTAGCATAAAAACTATACAATTTACTCATTTATTTGTTTCTCTTGTCAGTCTCCTCCCATCTATGGCTATATGCAGGCTATTTTGTTCTTTGCTGGATTCCCAGTTCCTATAATAGTGCCAGGCTCATAGCAGATGCTCAATACATTTGTTGAATAAGTGAATGACATCTAATAAGGCAGTATGAGAATCAAAGGCAACATATGCACTGGAAGAAATAACCCCCTTATTCCTGGGGACTCCCTTTGGGTAGGAGACCAGATATTTTTCTGCGGGAGGTAAGAAGGGAGAAGGAAATTTGCCCTAAATTTTCGCCTGTCCCAAATAAACAAAAACATAACTACAAGAAATCCTGGCCCTGATTAGCAGGGTCATTTCTTATAAAGCAATGGCCCCTGAGAATCATCTTGCACAGGAGAATGACAAAAAGAGGGACTGAAAATTCTCTGCATCATAACGTAAAGGGTTGTATCTAGGAGGAGACTTGGAAATAATGGCACCTTTAGGAAAATTGTTCCCTACCTTACCATGCTTTAGAATTGTTTTTTCTTTAGGAGACCGTGTGTGTGTGTGTGTGTGTGTGTGTGTGTGTGTGTGTGTGATCTAAGAATTTCCCCAGCAGCCTGCACGTGTGAGTGAAAATGAGAGAATAAATCTTTATTTTACCCCGGCACAGCAATCTCTGAGGGTACTGGACTTTGGTGCAAAGACCATGGTGAGTTTGCAGTTGGAGTTTTCGGTACAGCTACCCAAGATTGAAAATTCAGGCTTTGAAACACGTATGATAATGGATGGTGGCAACCCATGAATGGTGCTGGGGAATGAATCCTGGGAAAGAGGTGGGTTTCCCCAGAGAGGAGAGGCTAAAAAACTAAACTCTTTCTCTAAGGAGGAAGAGAGATGGATAGAACTTCAGAGAAAAAAGCAAGAGAGGACCCATGAGGAGGTTCCCTGGGAAGCGCGGAATTTAAAAAAATATATATGTCTTTGTTTTATATGAATAGTCATAGCCAGTTTTAGGATTCGCTTCTACATTATAATTTCCTCTAGCTCTTCCCCAAATATAAACACTTACATGGCATTAACTGTATACCAGACACTGTACCAAGTGTTTCGTATATATTTCTTTATTTAACCCTCACTATTATCATCATTGGCCCCGTTGTACAGATTAAGAAACAGAGACAGGGAGAAATGAAAGAACTTGATCACAGTTACACAAATAGTCAATGGCAGGAAAAGGTTTTGGGCCCGGGCAGGATGGTTCCAGATTGGGCACATCTAACCTCTCTGCTACACTGCCTTTTCCATCAGGTTTCTTATGCATGTAGCTGCCTCGTGTGAGTGTTGGGGGAGGGAGCTAAGGGGAAGGGTGCTCAGGGGATGTGTGGCCTGCCCTGTTGTGTCAGCGCGGTGCAGCTGCCTGGCTGCATAGCCTAAGCAGCAGACCTGGAGTTCCTGGTGGGGCCGGGCTGGCAAAGGAGCAAGAGACAGGGAGAAGGTGCCTAAGTGTGATGGATTCACACAAATACAAACTCCCCATGAGACAAAGCAAGACAAGCTCCCCTTGTCCCACATGCATTCCAGGAAGGTAAAGTGACTCTTGAGTGGGAAAAGCACCCTCCCGTGTGCTGCTAACATGTTCAATAGGTGAATTGCAGCACCTGACACGAGCTAAGTGCTCAGCAAGTCAGAGCTGTCATTCCTTGTTAGGTCACATTGAGCCACAGGAGAGACGGTTGACTGTCAACTACATTCCACCTACCAAAACGGCAATTTCACATGGTTCAGTTTAGAGTTTAATTTTAATGTCCCACTCCCCTTCTAGACTGAACTTCCTTTAGTGAGCAGGGATGATGTATTTCCAGATCAGTGTCCCAGTGCCGAGTGGAACACCTGGCTCCAAGTCCATGTTCAGGGAATGCAGACAGAGTTGAACCGAATGCGCACCCACTGAGTTTGCTTGCTAGTTAATGAGCTAGTATGGTTCATTGACTATATACGGAACTACTATGCATTCTTCTTTTGTTTGTTTGTTAATCCTCACCCGAGGATATTTTTCCATTGATTTTTTTTTAAAGAGAATGGAAGGGAAGGGGAGAAGAGAGAGAATCATCAATGTGAAAAAGACACATCGACTGGTTGCTTCCCACATGCACCCCAACCAGGGCCAGGGACTGAGCCTGCAACCAAGGTATGTGCCCTTGACAGGAATTGAACCCTCAACCCTTCAGTCTGCAGGCTGATGCTCTAACCACTGAGTGAACTGGCTAGGGCCTACTATGCATTCTTATTAGGTTGGTTGGTTGACAGACTCACTGAATATATCTTTGACTTATAAGATCCAGAAGAAAATAAGACTGTAATATACCCCTGGCCCACTGTTTGTCACTTACCTGGAATGACTTCAAAGACAAACTTCCCCGCTTCTTCTGGGTTTGTGGCAATCTCCTTGATTGTACTTCCGGGCAGATACATACAACCCTGAAAGATCAAAAGTCAGGCCTTTATGATGGGCAACAATTGTATCACCTATTAGCTAACATTAAGTTGGAAGACAGGTAGTGATGGGATGAAGAAGAACATGGAAAGCTAGGCCCCTCTGCTATTCAGGCCTTAATCAAATAAAGTGGTAGCTATCGGAGAGCAAGCTAGGTGTCTGGAGAGAAAAGGATAAGGTCCTGACAGGAGAATGAGCTGAGGGGGCATCTTCACCAATGCTTGCTTCTTCCCACTTTTCCAAGGACCTGACTTCCTGGCCAAACCAGATATCAGGTCTTTGTGAAGGCTGGGTGGACCATGCTACCTGCTGGGCTGCAAAAGGGGTCATTAAGGGCTGAACCACAGGTAGTCATTCAAAGGGATGGAGTTTTCCCCCTTGCTAAGCAGCTTGAATATATTATTCATTTAGTTCTTCTAGCAATCCTCCAAGCAGGATGTCATTATGCCCATTTACAAGGCAGAAAACTGGGGATCAGAAAGATTCTGTAATTTGCCCAACGTCACAGAGCTAGTAAGTAGCAGAATAGTAATTCATCTCAGGAGTGAGTTCAAAACCCCTTGTACATGAAGATGCTATTAGACAAATAAGTCATTCCCACCATGGGTACTAGTATGCTTGAGGCTTTACCATTCACAGTACATGGTCACAAGCCTAGCTCATCAGATCCCCACAAAGCTCCATATCAAGAGCATGGCAAGATATGCCACTTCTACTTTACAGATGAGGAAACTGATGCTTTGAAAGTCTAAGCGACTGCACGAAGAGACATAGTGATTATGTACTACATTAGTTACTCATAAGTTACATCTCACTGGCTGTTGGAGGTAGCACGTCTGATTCTGAGCTGAATAGACATGTGTGTCTTTATTCTACAACAAAGTGTGGTTGACGAGGACAAGCAACAAAGAAGCTATGAAGGCAAGAGTCTTAAGGAATTCTCAGATCAGATCAGGACCCCGAAAGAATAAATGTTTATTAGAGTGCCTAGAAATAAAAATGTCTAAGAATGAGAAAGTAGAAGAAAAAGAAGAAGAAATGGAGGAAGAGTAGGAGAAAAGGAGAAAAAGAAAAGGAAAATGAAGGAGGGGGAGAAGGAGGAGGAGACGAAGAGGGCAGGAGAAAAAAACTAAAAAAAAATTGTCTATAAAAAGGAAGTCTGCATTTTCTTTTACATTTCTCTAAGTTCATTACTTAAAAATAACCTCCATCTACATGGTCTTCGCCATCTTTAAATACGAACGGTCTCATAAAAAAAAAAAAATGACCCTGAGGTTGTGTTGTTGAGGCATTTGCATGACCTATGGCACCATTTTCAGACAGAAAGGAGCATTGCCAGATAGGAAGGGGGGAAAGAGGTACCTGCCTCTCCCAAGTGCCTCTCTAAACTATTATTTGATAACCCAAATCATTTCACCCAAAAATAGTAAAATAAAATACCATTTATTGAGCAATTACTAGGTGATAGGCTCTATGCTAAATGGCCTGAATATATTATCACATATAATCTTCAGAAGAGCTCTATGAGGGATAACTGACATTTTTCTCATTGGAGAGATAAGGAAGTAAGGCTCCCAGAAGTTAGTTAGCTGATTCAAGATCACAAAGCTAGTTAATAGGAAAGCTATAACTTAAACCCTGGTCAGTGGGATTCCAGAATTACAAATTAGGTTAAACTAAATCACACCAAGGCATTAATGACAAATTGCAAGCCATTTCCTCATATTGAGCACGACAACCTTGAACAAGAGAGAGGAAGAGTAGAAAATACAGAAAAAGACATTATTAGGGATGGGGGTGGGGTGGGAACAGTGAAGGGAAGGAAGTATTGTCTCAGAAAAGAAAGAGTTTAAATTGCCCATAGCCACTTTTGCCTATTTGACAAGTAGATTGGGGTAAACCCTGTACAAAGATGGAAGGAGGGAGAGGTTTATGCTGGAGGCCACAAATCCTACAGCAATGATCCTGGGGAGAAAGGTTTGTCAATGGTATACCAGAACCCGGTTATATTGGCTTAGAACTATTACATTTTCAGGAACTCTGTGAACCAACTGTTAAACATGGCATTATTAAAAGTTGTTATATAAACTTACAAAGCAATATTTTATATTAAAAATAAAGGTAATAGTACTAAGAATTCACCACTTCCTAATTATTTATTATATTTAACCGTGATTTTTGTCCATATGGTTATTCACATTTAATCTATTTATGTGGTAGAAATTCTATATAATATCTCTTCTTCTCAACTCTGTGTTCAGTGATGTCATGTTAGTAGTTTGAATCAACCATGGTAGGAGTATTTACACCACAGCAATTAGTGTGAGCCCATCAGGCATGGTTCAGTGGTTGAGCATCGACCACTGAACCAAGAGGTCATGGTTTGATTTCCGATCAGGGAACATGCCTGGGCTGCAGGCTCAATCCTAGTGTGGGGTGTGCAGGAGGCAGCCAAACAATGATTCTTTCTCATCATTGATGTTTCTATCTCTCTCTCCCTCTCACTTCCTCTCTGAAATCAATAATTTATGTATACACATGAAATGCTTTAAAAAAAATTGGTGTGAGAATTAGACCTTTCTGAGACCTCAGAGGGAAAAAATGCACAGACTGCCTCCAATCGAGCCTAGAGGTTTTCAAAAGCAAACACACAAGAGTCCATCTTTCACATTTTATAAGTTATTTAATCATTCTCCGTGGTTGGACATTAGGTCCAATGTTTCTCACTATAAGTAGCACTGCATATATTTTTGCTTTTGGACAGGTTCTTAAAACCAAAATGATTAGATGTGATATTTTTTTGGCTCTTGGAGATATGGTCACATTGTTTTGTAGAAAGGTGGCACCAATTACATGCATTATCATCAGTACATTTGAGGGCCCTTTCATTTGATTGCTCTTAGATTTGGGGGGTAGCTTCTCTTTTTGAGGTTTTTAGGGGTCAATGTGCATGTGTTCTTTTTAAATTGACAATGAATTTATATTTTTGTCATAGAAAAATCAGAAAGTAGACCAAAAAAAAAGGAAAATTAAAATTATAGGTAACTCCAGTACTCAGAGATAACCACAGTTAACACTTCGGTGTTTCTCTCCAGGCCTTTTTCCATAAATACACATTCATGATTTCCCCCCCCCCACCCAAGAATGGGATTAGTATACACATAATTCTTTGTTATAAAAGGCTTTCTTTTCCAAAAACAATTATATTATGGACGTCTTCCAATTTCAACAAGTATTAATTTAAGGCATCAAAGGCTGAAATGTATTCTATTGTATATAACACATATATCTATATCTATATCCATATCTGTACCTATATCTATATCTATATCTATATCCATATCTGTACCTATATCTATATCTATATCTATATCTATATCTATATCTATATCTATATCTATATCTATATCTTCCCTGATATAATTTAGCCCCTACCATTGTTTTCACATCACTGTTATAAACAACACCCTGGTGAAAACCTGTACAGGTAAATTTAATTGTCTACATCAATGTTAATTGTCCACTTAGGTTAAATTCCTAAAATTATAAATGCAGGGTCAAAGGGTTTGGTTTTTTGTTTCTGTTTTTTAAAGAAAGACAGATAAATTTTACTTTGATTTGGTGGCACAAAAAGCACAAAAGAGCAAACATTAGTTAAAAGGCACAGAGGAATTGAACAGGGAACAGGAACTAAATTAGTTGAAGCAAATTAACTTATGGTTGTAAATCAACAGGGGTTCAGATAGATGTGAGGAATTCACTTCTGCTTCAGAATAGTTGTTTTTGCTTTTAACCAATAGGACTGGGCCTGTTCCTGGGGGAATTTAGATACTTCATTGCCAATCTTCAATTAAATGAAGAGCCCCCTCTGACTATTAGTATAACCTGCTCAGTTTCTTGTGGCTGAATTTTGGAACTGATGCTACCTTCCCCCTCTCTTCTCTTTTTTTAAAATATATTTTATTGATTTTTTACATAGAGGAAGGGAGAAGGATAGTCAGAAACATCGATGAGAGAAGAACATGGATCAGCTGCCTCCTGCACACCCCCCACTGGGGATGTGCCCGCAACCAAGGTACATGTCCTTGACTGGAATCGAACCCAGGACCCTTCAGGCCTCAGGCCAACGCTCCATCCACTGAGCCAAACAGGTCCCTCTCCCTTCTGATGATTGGGTAACCCAGAGTTGATTCCTTAGTGAATTTCTCCTTTAAGAAAATATCAAAGAGAAAAGATATAAAGAGCCGCCTAAAAGAAATGTTCAAAAGGTCTTATTGTATTTGAAATGGAGCATGGGACCAGTGAGCTGGGAGTCTGGGATGGAAGGAGCTGGACCATTTCTCCTCCTCAGGCCCCCTGTACATGTGGGCATGAGGAGGAAGGGTAATGGACAGGTGGCAGAGGAAGGAGAACGGTCCAGGGACGTTTACACCTGTGCAGAAGCAAGGGTGCAGACTGGATTGATCAAGAGAATTGGATAGCCGTCCCTCTGTCTTTCTGTCCATTCCAGACAGATACACCAGAAGGGAGCGGGCATGGCTACAGATTCCAGTCCCACATGGGGTTCTGTGAACCTGGGCAAAGAGTTGCAACTCGAGTCTCTGTCCCCTTGTCTGCAAAATGGGACTAGTATTTTGAGCTCTGCATATCTCAAAGGTTTTGGGTGTGGATCAAAGACACCAAGTGTGAGAATACTTTGCAAAATTTAAGATGTTTAAAAAAGTATCCTACTAATGTGAGAATGGAGTTCCTGAGCCTGGCTTTGTATTACATTCACCCAGTGTGAGCTTTTAAAGTTTACATCTTATCTCCTGGGCTCCTTCCCAAGGCGTAGGGTCTGAAATCATTAACACACACACACACACACACACCCCACAAACAGAATTATAGAAATAAAAGAATATCAATAGAACCCAGCTGGCATGGCTCAATGGTTGAACACTAAACCAGGAGGTCATGGTTCGATTCCCAGTTGGGGCACATGCAGCCAATTGACGATTCTCTATCATTGATGTTTCTATCTCTCCCTCCCTCTCTGAAATAAATAAATATATTTTAAAAAGAAAAAAAGAAACCTCCCTCAGAGTCACTGAGATGACGTGGACACTAATTGGAACATGGAGGGAAATCAGGGGCCCAAGGGACCGGTTTGCATTTTTACAAGGCATATTCCTCTCCAGAAAGGTGGTATGGATTGTCATTTCCACCAGCTGTGCATGAGAATTCCTATTCCCTACAACACTAAAATGTCTAAAAAAATCTCTGGAAATTTGATTAAAAAACAAATCTTTGCCAATTGGACAAGGGAGCAGTATTATCTCATTGGTTTACATTGTATGTTTTTTAATTATTAATGAGATTGAACTTTTTATGTGCATTTTTTGGAGAAATTATCCACTTGTGTCATTTGCTCATTTTTCTATTGAGCTGTTTCTTATAGTCTTTAAAGAATACTTTAAATATTAAAAGTATTTGTTTGTTATATGTACATAAACAATTTTTCCTGCTTATTATTTGACTTTTCGTTTTATTATGTTGGTTTTTATGTAAGATATGGACATTTTAATTTATGCAATTAAATTTGCTTTCCCTGGTGCTGTCTCTGTTGCTATGCTTATGAAACACCTGCCTCCCAAAGATTTTGAGGATAACTACATTTTCTTCTAGGATTTTTATTAGCTACTTTTTTTTTACATTTAAGTCTTTAATCCATCCAAAAGCATGAATGGTGTAAAACATAGTGTGGAACTATGTCATTACTTTTTCCAAAGAACTTAGCTCATGTCTGTAACTTTCATTTCATTTTAGGTATCTGCAATGCCTGTGAATCCCCAAACAATGTTAAATGGTAGCATAATAAAAGTACTCTATTCTGAATAGATTTTTCTTTATCTTAATGAAGTAATTATGGATATATGAAAAGTCTACAAGAATATCCTTTTAATTCTTGTTTGTAATAATAATATAGAAACATCAGCCCAATGGATTATAAAATGTCTATACAATAGATTATTTTACCACCAATAAAAATTACATTGTAGAAGAATATTTATATAATGGACAATACTCACAATATATTGTTAAATTTTTAACTAAAGAATATTATTATGTTAACTTTGCATTTAGAATAGACAAGTTTCTAAATGTATACATATATATGATTTGGGTAGTTATTTTACCTAATGGGATCATTTTTATTTCCTACCTTATGCTTTCCCACATCTTACAAATTTCCCATTATGTACACATATAGCTTTTGTAATCAAAATATACATATTCAAATAAAGTAAAATATTCTTTCTAAGAAATTCACTGTATTCCTAAAAACTTTTTTTAAAATAAACGTTTTATATCTGAAATGACTATTTAATTTTACCCAATGCTTTTTTCAGCCATTAATTTAGGGGTCGTGTAATTTTTCTCATTTGATATATTGCTCTCTACCTATTGACCAAATATATTAAGAGATTTCCTACAAAATAAACCCTACTTGTCATCCTGGAAGCAGATTTATCTAATTTTCCCAGACAATGTAATCCTGAGAGGACTTTCCAGACTTAAGGGAGAGAAGCTAGGACCGTCACTAATTTATTTCACCCTTTGACATCGTTTATGCTTTTTCAAAACAGAATATTCTTACACATGTTACATATCATTTGATCCTATGACAAATACAGGCCAGGTATGATTGTCTAATTTTACCAAAAAAGGGGGGTGTCCAGAAATAATAAATAAGTACATGGTCAGATGGTAGTAGAGGCAGGAAACGAACACAGGCTTGGAGAAAGCACACCTGTCACCCTCCACACCTCCCGGAAGCAGACCCCACTGAGCTGTCCTTTCCGCTCCTTCTGGAAAGCCCACACATTGTTGCCATCTCCCTCGCTCTCTGCTGATGGGAAGACTTCCGGCATCAGCTATCAATGCACCAGTTACCACCCTCTGAGCCCGTAATTACTTGGATCTGATGGAACTGGGTTGTTCATAAAGTGAAGGAAATCTGGTCACCACGCACAGGACGCTGAGCAAGAACCGGGTCTGGAGGGAGGGTGGGCAGGGGTGGAGTTTCTGGCCCTTTTGTGGCCTCTGCAGTGACAGACATCACAGCCCTCACTGAGGCCCTTGTTAGCCAGGGGCTGCTGATGCATCATCGATCCTTAACTCTGTCCTTAAAGAGAACTCTCATTACCAAAATGACCGTCTCATTTCTTCACATACCCTGCCAAGAATCCCCCAATATCTTCACCCTTCCTGGGGCTTTCTTTCTGGTTCCGGAAGATTCTAGAACAGTGGTTCCCAACCTTTTTTTAGCCATGCCCCACCTAAGCATCTCTAAAATCCTGATGCCTGCCCCCCTCCCTGTGACATATAATTCCTATTATTAAAAAAGTGAACTCCTATTCACGTGGAGGAAGCCTAAAAGGCCATTAACTTGGTCTGAACAAGCTTCCAAAGACCACGGCATCCATGAAAGAGAAAAATAAAAGAACGAAAGGACAGTTGAAGTACTGAGGAAGAAATCACTAAGAAATTGTTAAAAAAAATAATAATATGAAGTGATATAAAAAATAGCAAATAACATTTCAAAACAGAGAACTGAAATGCATAAATGTCACAATATATATTTATATGCTGTATATGAAGCCCCTAGAACCTTAAGAAATGCAAAAAATTCACTGTTAATAACTCATTCTCAAATTGTCCCCTTAAAAATCAACTTGCCCCCTGTGGGCATGTGCCCCACGTTGGGAACTACTGTTCTAAAGTCTGTCTTCCACTTCCAGAGACTTGAGATCTAGATAGGGTGACCAGTTGTCCTGTTTGCCCTGAGACAGAGTTTAGACCTGGGGTCCCAGGGTAATTGCTAAATCACCCCTTTCACTCTTATGCAGCATGATGGCCATGAGGAATCAGTGATGCAGGGAGAAAAGATCTAGGCCCAAGATTTAGGATCAAAGCCCTCTAGCTCCATTGGGAAATCCTGTTTGCTATGCTTTCAAAGTATATCAGGCATCTGACCCATTTCCCTCCAGCTCACAATTCCCACTGAGATTCTAAACATTATAACCTCTCACCTTGTGCCTCCTTCCTGTCCCTGAATCTATTTTTGGACATTGCATCAACAGCCACCTTTTTACAACATAAGTCAAAGAATGTCCCTTTCTCCCATCACCCTCGGTGTAAACACTCCAGCCCTTATTATGGCATACAATAGCTTTTGCAGTGCGTGTCCCAATCCTTCCCCCTCTGCAGCCTCTCTGACCTCATCCCCTCTGATTCTCCTAGTCCTTAGTTCTGCTGATCCCACACTGCCCTCCTTGCTATTCCTCACACGGGCTCCGCCTCAGGGCCTTTGCACGGGCTAGCCTCTCTGCCGAAAGTGCTCTTCCGCCAGAGATGTGCCTGACTACTTGTCTCTCCTCCCTAGTCCTTGCTCAAATGTCACTCTCTTCACAGATCATTCTGACCATCCTTTTTAAAATTGTAACACCTCCCTCAAACGCTTGACCTCCTCCCTTAACTCATTTTATTTTTTCCTCATAGAACTAGTGATTTTTCTAACAAACTGCATACATTTTGTTATTTATTATGTTTATTCTCTGCCTTTCCCTTCATCTTGTAAGTTCTACCTGGCAGAGATTTTTATCTATTTTACTCACCGGTTTATTCCAAGTACCCAGAACACTGTTTGGCACATAATAGATGCTCAATAAATATCGATTGAACAAACAAATAAATGAAAGCCCCCAAATCCATTTTCCTGACCCCCAAATCCACTCCCTCTGAGCCCCATACTCAGCATTACCATCAAGACCATGTTGCCAGCCTTGACTTAGAGCGGCCCTTGGGAAGGTCCATGGCGTTCACCTGGGGTTTCCTGGAGGAGGGTCACCCTGTCATCTTTGCAACTCAGGTCTCTTATCTAGAAAATGGTGAAAAGGAACAAGCAACCTCCTCTCAAATCAATGTGTGCCTAGTCCCAGTACGAAGGCCCCTGGGAGTTTATAGAGATTTAAGGGGGCTCCATGCCCGCCTCCTGCAGGCCTGGGGACAGGGCCCTGGTAATGGGGACAGACAGCCTGGCAGTACCTGTGGCTTCGTGTCCTCTTCATCCTTGTAGTAGTAGAGCTGCTGCGCCCTCAGCACGAAGTACCTCTGCTGCCAGTTTTTCACGATGGACCGCTGCTTCTTCAGCCAGCCCATTTTGATGGGCCTCTCCAGGGGGTTGGGGGTGGACGACGGGTGGAAGGCGGCCATCTGCTCGCCGGTCATCACGCTCCTGGACCGAGCTATGGAGAGGAGCAGACAGGCAGACTGACTGAGGGACATGAAGCAGTGTGCAGAGCGTGGGTGGAGGCAGAGAGGAACCCCCGAGGGGGTGGAGAGGCGGCTGGGGCCCCAGCCAGGTCCTGCTCAAGGGTCCAGATCTGTATCAGAGAAAATTCCCCCGTGACCCAGAGAGCTGCCTGCTCGCGCCCAGGCCAAGGCCTGCCGAAAGGAGCCCGGGGAGGAGGGGGGAGCCCGCGGCCCAGCGCGCACGCAGTCCGGCAGCTGGCCTCGGCCCCCTCATTCTGCAAAGCGCGAGATTGGCTGGAGACTTCTGAAGAGGAAGTGGCCGCAGCATCTGACAAAAGGTGCTTCCTTTTTCCTGCGTGGGCGTCGGTATCTGACAAGAGAGAGAAAATAATGCCTCGCTCTGAGGGCGCAGGGTGAGTCCCACGCAGCTGCAGAGGCACCGGAAGCTGCCGGGCATTCTTCACCCAGGGGAGCTGGTGTGTTTAGCTCTGGTCTCACTATCAAAAAGGGCCCTTCCCCAACCGACCCCCCAAAACCCAGACTCCCGCCCGGAAAAAAAAACCCGGGGCCCTGTCCACACAGCCGCATGCAGGAAGCTGGCACTTCCTGAATTTTCCTGATGAGTGTCATTGAGTGCCATTCTGTCCCCTGCTCACTGAGAGCGTTGGCAGCCTTTTCTCCTGGACCAAGGGCCTTCCATAGCTGCGCTCTTGCTACCTTTTCAGTCCAGTTGTCCCTCCCACGTGGCTGAGAGCACACATGTGTTTGAAAGGAACATGGATCTGCCAGCAGAATTTGAATCCAAGCCCTCCAATCCACTGTATTGTGTTGTTGGCTTTTGTTTTTACCCAAGAGCTCTGCCTGCCATTGGAACAGGACCGATGTCCACAGCTTGTCTGCACAGTAACTCCATCCAGAACAACGCTCGCTCTCCTTTTCTTTCCTCCACCGGGAGCGAGGGGATCACCCTGCCTGTGACCCCCTTTCAGCATGTCCTCTGAGCCTCACCTACCTCCTTTCCCAGGCAGTTTAACAGTGCCCTTGAAACCACCTTGGAGCTCCTCATCTCCTTGACCTTGAACTGTGTTTCACACTTGCCAGTCCCCAGGGTCTCCATTCCTCTCCTTGCTGGAGGAAGTCTCTGTCTGACCATGCTTTTATTCAGCTTTTGTGGGTTCCCAGAACAACCACGACTGAACTAAGCCAACTCCACTCTCCCCTAGTTGCCTCTCCCCTTGTTAGAGACCAGTGCTTCCTTTCCTGGCACTGTCACCCTGAGTCCATTCTGCAACTTCTCTGTGCCTCAGTTTCCTCCCTGGTTAAGATAGGATAATAATAGTCCCCGCTCTATGGAGTTGTTATAGAGATTAAACAAGCTTACATATATAAACCACTTAGCACAGTCCCTGGTTCAAGGTAGCATATGTTACTCAGTTTTATCAACAGGTGATTTTACTTCCTACTTGAAGAATGGAGATTAGCTTTGAGAGCTCCCTAAACGTCCTCTTCATTTCAAAAAGCCACTCCATCGGCAAGCTTTCTCTCTTCCTTCATTCCTATCGCGAATGCATTTAATTGACAACTTTTCCCATTGTTTTTGATTCCTTCCTCTCTATCTCATTCTAGGCCTGTGGTCTTAGAGCTTTATTTATGTTCATGGCATACTTTCAAATACCAAAGTTGTATCTTTCAAGGGTCCAGATCTGTATCAGAGAAAATTCCCCCGTGACCCAGAGAGCTGCCTGCTCGCGCCCAGGCCAAGGCCTGCCGAAAGGAGCCCGGGGAGGAGGGGAGAGCCCGCGGCCCAGTGCGCACGCAGTCCGGCAGCTTTTCCCATTGCTTTTGATTCTGTTCTCTCTATCTCATTCTAAGCCTGTCCGGCAGCTTTTTTGGCCCTTCTGTCCTCTCCTTGGATTTCTACAATAGTTCTCTGACCTGTTCTCTCCCACTCAATGACACTCATCAAAGAGAATCCTTCTCCCACTGACTCCAACTGTATCCAGAGTTACCATCCTATCCACATGTCGCCTTTCAATCCTGTATTGCTGTCTGATGAGGACTCTGCCCTAACTGGGCTCCCTTGACCCTCACTAGGGGGTCTGTGTTCTTGTCACATACCAGCTGGCAGTCACCCCTTACCTCCCACCAGGGACTGGAGAGGTCATACTATGTTGTACACAAGCGACAAGACATACTTGATTCAACAACCTCCTTCTGGACATATATCATCCGATGAGCGCATATACTCAACTGCAGTAAAAAGCAATTTGACATTTTGATGACAATGTAGCAGCATGGCTTTGCATCTGTGAGTCTTGGAACCCCAGTTAAAATTCTTCTCAGATTCTTGCTCCTTAGTTAGCTGCTATCTTCCAGATCCTACATCTGTAACCCACAGAACAGACACGGGGCTGGTCCCTTACGAGAAGGCTGTGTAAAAGGTCTGAAGGAACCGTAGGAGGGTT